TAAATGACTTTTTGGTGCTCGATATATTTGTCACGTAATGATCGAAACTTTTTTGGGTGGCGATTTTACCCCGGTCAAATTTTCCGTGACCCTGCGCGATACTTAATTTAATTTTGCCCGGAATTATACTTAATTTTTTGCCTAATTTTTCCCAGAATTATATTTACTTTAGCCTAAATTAATTTTAATTTTGTCTAAATTATGTATTCAAAAATTAATTAAGCATATATGTAAGTTATTTTCACAATGAAACAAGTATTACGCGTTAATCGCTCCCCTTTATTACTAATAAGCAAAAAATTTTTACGCGTCTTTACATTTGTAGAACACGTCTTTTTACTGTTTTTTGTTTAAATTAAAATAACCATTCGGAAAAAAAGAACTTTTACAGTAAGTACCATTGCTTTAAGAAGAGTAGATAATCAATGAACATCGGAAAACCTTTCCCTTTTAGAAAATTTGTTAAAGTTTCGGGCAACCGGGCTTTATTATTACTTCTCTTTTTTATAAGATTTTTTGAGTTAAAGTTTTGGGCAACCGAACTTTATTATTACTATTCTTTCTTACTAAGTTTTGGACAACCATCAATAATGATACCTATTAAAGTTTCGGGCAACCGAACTTTGACATTACATTTTCATTCAAATATACTCCAAACTAATGATTAGGTTAAATACCTTGGGCAACAGTACTTTTACTTCAAAACATTTACTTTATTTTTTTTTAAAAAAAAATATCAATATTCAAATAACTCCAAACTAATGATTAGGTTAAATACCTTGGGCAACAGTCCTTTTACTTCAAAACATTTGCTTTATTTTTTTTTAAAAAAAATATCAATTTGAAGAATAAACACAATGAGAACAGACATTTATTTTTAAATATTAACAATTATTATAAAGAATTGATTCCGTTAGCATTTTTATTTTAGTCAGAAAGCAAACACATTAGTTTTTGGTATCTTGTTGGAAAATGGAACCTCAGAAAGATAGCAAAAGAATAATTTCGTCACCATTAGCTGACGTATGGTGCCAATTCTTTAAATATGACAGTTGACATTGAAAATATCGAATTGAAAATTAAACATCTCGATAACTTAATACATTATCAGTTAATCCCAGAATTCAAGAATGTTTTAAATTTATCGGATTAAATGTAGAAGAGGCGACACTTGCGGCAAATTTCCAGGAGCGAAGAATTAGAACGCCACTTTTCGCGTTTCGTGAAAGCCAACTCTTTGTCCTTAAAAACTTTGCCGGAGGTGTTATACATTAATCAAAGAATGTATGATTTTACAATATATTATTTCTAATTTTGTTCCTAAAACAAGCTAATAATTGTGATTT